TTACCTAGAACTCAAGAAAGTAACAAAGAAAAAAGAAATAACTTCCAAAAATTCAAGAATGAAAGACCAAATGATAAGAGGCAAAATCTACTGAACTAGAAAGTATGAGCTCCATGGACAAAATGGCCAAAGAAAGCATGCTGAAAACATAGGAAGGCAAACCCAGCACAGGAATAATGAAGAACAGACTAACAACTCAGTTAATTTGGGGGTTATGGGGTGGGGCTCAGGTAGGGTCTCACATGTACATCATGCTGGCTTTGAACTCATAGAAACCCACCTGCCTCTGCCTCCTGAGTGCATTCTTAGTTAATTTCACAGACAAATCCAAATATCTATCTCTGTACAATGGCCATAGTATATGCTCTGGTTTGAATGAGGAATGTTCCCCATAGGTTCATGTATTGGGACATTTGGTCCCTAGCTGGTGGTACTGAATTTTGAGGCTTGCTGGAGGAAAACATCACTTGGGGCAGCTTTTGAGGGTTGATTTGACTCATACCACTTCCTTCTCGCTCTCTGCTTCCTGTTGTAGATGAAAAGTGATCTCTGTTTTCTGACCGCCAGGCGAGTCTCGGACTCCTGCTTTCATGTTTTCCCCCCACCTTGATGGGTTTTATTTATCAACAATGGTAAGGTAAAATAAACCGTTTCTTCATGGTGTTTATGACAGCAACAAAAAGTAACTGATACAGCATGTAATTCACTTTTCAAAAACATAGCACCTAATGCTATCATATACCTCGATGTGCTTTACTGGATTAAAAACAGCTTTTGAACCATTTTATCTAAGAGCTCATACCGATGGTGCACGCTGAGCATGACCAGAGATATTTCTGTCCATCACTTTAACCTTTCACATGTGCTCTATGACTCTGAGCACGTCTAACAATGCATCTATCTACTCTTTAAGTTATGACCTTAAACTGAGCACACTTGGGAAGAAACACAGAGAAAGCTTAGGGATGGACCCCAAAAGAAACTTTCACGCTTCCTCTGGCCAAGGGTGGCACTGCATTGAAAATAACTCTCCTGCTTACCTTGCCTGCTGCATGTACGTCACCTTTCTCCCCTCTTGTATGTCTTGGTTATGCTTATTTTGGCTTTGTAAATGCACTATGCTCAGTTACAAAACTAATAAATAAAAATTTTCTAGACCCATGATAGTGGATATGAAAAATGTCAATACCTGCGAAGCTGAGGTAAGATGATTCAAAGATGGGGACAGACAGCCTGGGCTGTATATATAGCAACTTCACAACCTGCCTACACTATCTATCCTAGAAAAAGAAAACAAAGAGCTAGCCAGGCTTAGCGACACACACCTTTAATCCTAGTGCTCAGCAGGCAAAAATAGGTGGATCTCTGAGTTTGAGACCAGCTTGATCTGATAACAAGTTCCAATCAGGTATAAGTACCTTCATCTACCCCTCAAAAAAAAAGAAAGAAAGGGAGGGAGGGAGAAAGGGAGGGGAGGAGGGAAGAAGGAAAGAAGAAAGAGGGGAGACAGAAAGCAGAAGGGAGAGAGAGGAAAAAAAGAAAGAAAAATCTACAATCATATCTTTATGACATAAACTTAAATATAGCTTTTGTGGTTTGGTTCAGTTTTTCAGAGATGTACCTGGTTTTGAATACTGTTTTTCTGGAGATACTGACTCCAAGGATCTGGTATCTGCTCATCAGATGCTCGATTCGGTGCTCGAGAATTAATTTTAAGTAAATAGCAACCTTGAGTTCCATATTTCTGTTTCATTTCTTCATAAATTGATTCAGCTCTAAAGAAAAGAGAAAGAATTTTGTAATAACTTTAGACAGACCTTAATTTTTTATTTATTTGTCCTTATATTCCCTTCATACTTTTATTTACGTGGGGAGGCTAATGACATACCACACTTCATGTGAACATCAGAGGACAACTTACGGGAGATGGTTTTCTCTTTCTACTGCATTGATACTGGAGACTGAACTCAGGTCATCACCATTAGCAGCAAGAGCCTTTATCCACTAAGACATCCGGGGAGTTCAGGCAACAAATTTTATTGTATTTAGGTTTTTTTAAGTGTGTGTGTGTGTGTGTGTGTGTGTGTGTGTGTGCGCGCGCGTGCGCGCGCGCGCGCGCTCGCGCAACCTTGCATGGATTTAATGTGCACTACTTGCATGCAAGAGTTCAAGGAGTCTAGAAGACGGTGTCAGATTCCCTGGGGCTGAATTACAACCATGTGGGTGCTGGGACCTGACCCTGAGTCACCTGTAAGGGTGGCAAGTGCTCTTAACCCTGAATATCAATTCAGCCCTAACAACAGACATTTTAAATCCAAGAATATCCCCCCAAAAAGGCAAAACAGAAAATTTAGAAAATATAAAAATATAAACGAAAACGCATGATTAGAATTAAAATTTATCGTCAAGACAGTCCTATCTGTTGCACAGGGAATTCTAATGGCCAAACTAGTTTGGGTGAACTGTAGAAAGCAAAATTAGTTTCTTTACAGCGCAGACCATCTGGGAGTACTCCACATGCCACAGTGGAGACTGCCTATTTCCAAAGAACTACTTCAAACATACAGATTAACAGCTTCTTGTCAACTGTGGGAACTCACTTTCAGAGAGCGTAATTGGAGAGTATCTTTTAAAACCATTTATTAACAAATGAAAAAAATTATAACATCAAAAAATGTTTACAGGACAGGGAAAAAAAAGGAAAGAGAACTAGACCAAAGCAGACGAAGATTTCACTACACAAACCCACACTTTGTTCTTGAAAAACTCAAGAACAGCTGAAGCTACTTCTCAGATTTAAAAAAAAAAAAAATTTCCATATTTTTAAAAGAAAAAAATACATGCCATCTTCAACTGTATATCAAGTTTGAACCCAGCTTAGGCTTCATGAAATATGTTTCAGGAAGTAAAGAAGGAAAGTAGTTACTAACTATGCTAGCTACTGATAGAGAAAATGAATTGAAATGTGACAACCTAAGCAGGAAATACAAAACTGTGAGAAATGAAGTCCTGGTTCCACTTGGTTTGGTCTGCTTGTTTATTTATAATTGTTTAATTCTTTCAAGGCTGGTAATGAACCCAGGACCTCAAAAAAAGGTAAGCTTTATCACTGAGCCTACATATATATCTAGCCCCAAGTCTAGCTTAAATAGGGTATCTTCAGTCCATTCACTATTTTGGGGGCAGGGCAACATCTGGAAAATATGAAGAATTATTCATGAGCAAACACTAATATTGTACAAATAACCCTAGTAAACAACAAAATCATACAACATCCTATTAAAGCTAGGTTAGTAAAAGTTATAAAACAAAGTATCTAAATACATATAGAAACATGTTTATGTATATATACACTGAAGCCAAATTCCTGCTCACTTTATTAATACTGCTAAAAAAGCTAGGATCTGGGCTACTGAGATGGTTTGTGGATAAATGTGCATACTGTCATGTCTCAAGACCTGAGTCCTGTCCCCTGGACCCACATGGTAGAAAGAGAACTGACCCCTTTGAAGTGTCATCTGACCTTACATGCATGTTGTGATGTGCACCCAAACACACATACATAGACACACACCATAATAAATCATTTTTAAAAATTAAGAATCATTGACCTAATTTTCCAATGCCTACTGAACATCCTTATTACAAACATTCAATACAGGGGGGTGGGAGGAGGCCATGTTCAACTGACTCAAAAGAATTTTAATAACCTGCTCACACTATTTTTTTTTTACTTACACTACTCTTTTTCCAATGGGCTTTGGACATTTTTTTTTAATCCTAAAGATGAATACTCCACATGAGGTAAACTGTTCTTTTTCTGAGTTTAAGTTATAGGAAGATACAAAGAAGGTGGGGCTGCTGCTCAATGGTAGACTGTGCTCAGGACACACACGCAGTTTCAACTACTGATATCATTACCAATATCTCAACCAGTGATCACTTATGTTCAAAAATAAGGATTATAAATTATAAGTCCTAAATGGCAATCAGATATCAAGAATAGTATGAAACAAGGTTAATTTGACCTACACTTTCAAAAAAAACTGTCAAAATAAACTCTAAAGCATAAATATAAAATTATTTTTTGTTTACATTACAAGAATTCATTTTAGGGGCAAGGCAGCTCAGTAAGTGAAAGTATTTGCCACAAACAACCTAAATTCAAGCCCCAAGCCCGACTCCATGGTGGAAGAGAACCAACTCTTAAAAGATGTCTTCTGACCTCCACATGTGCCAAAACACATATGCACATGTATGCAAGTGCACACACACACAAACCAAAAATATGTGATTCTTTTTTAAAAAAGTAAAAATTAAAACGTACCAGGTGTGGTGGCACACACCTGTAATCTCAGTACTTGGGAGGCAGAAGCAGGTGGATCTCTGTGAGACTAAGGCCAGCCTGGTCTACAAAGTAAGTCCAGGACAGCCAAAGCTACCCGGAGAAGCCCTGCCTGAAAATAAATAAATAAATGAAATAAAATAAAAATAAAAAATAAATTAAAATGTTAACACTTACCTTTGCTCATCTCCTGAAGTTACATCATGTAAAAGCACGTAATATTTAAGTGTATTTGGGATAAACCACTTAGGGTAGGAATAATCACTGTTGTGCTGAATTCGATGCTGTTCTTGTGACAACTTTGAAAACTCTTCCATAGGTTCAGCTTCACCAGACGATGCCACCAACATACCTTATAACCACATTGTCAGGGAAATTATCACATCTCTCAATGATGAACACTGCCTTATTAATATAAATTTTAGGAGAGCTCTTCTGGCTAGGCCTCATAGCACAGGCCTGTCATCCCTGTAAGCTACTCAGAAGGCTGAGACAAGAGGGTTACAAGTTCAAGGCTACGTATGCACTACAGTTCTAAGCCAGAACATCTAAGAAAGACCTCTTCCTCTGGCCTCCAAGTGCACAAGCATACACACTTGCACAACCACATTCACATATACCACACATACACCACACTCAGATATGCACACACTTCTCAACTAATCAGATCAAAAAGTCCAAAATAAAGAAAAATAGTTTTGAACATGATATCACTACCAATAAAAAAAATAATTTCTCTGGGCTGGCACACCTTAAAACCCAGTGCTCAGGAGGCAGAGAGAGGTAAATCTGAGTTCAAGGATAGTGTGGTCTACAGAGTTCCAGGACAGCCAAGGCTACAGAAAAACCCTTCATGTCTTGACAAACCAATAAACAAACAAGTGAATGAATGAATGAATGAATGAATGAATGAATGAATGAATGATGAAATGATGATGATAATAATAATTTCTCCAGTTTTTATAACTTCTCAAGAACTTTATCTTTGTTTCTATGATTAACAACTTTCTGGCTTTCAGATGACTTAAAGGATACATGCTAAATAGTGGTTCAGAAACTCATGATCTGATGCTGGCATGGACTGCAGAAAGGTCTCTCTGTAAGACTCAAACCACGGAGTAGTAGCTAAAAATTAACAACATGCAAAATGGTTAAAATTCAGTTTATAAAAGATAATTTCTAGTAACAAACAAGTATTTTACCTGTGCTTTAAGAAGATACATTTGATATCAAGTCAAACAAAACAATTTTATTTGTAGATACAGGATTTTACATAACTACATCAAATCATTCATATATTTAAGGAGATATACAGCATACGTAACATATTTTACGCTATTCACACAAATACATTTATATGTGGAACCATACAGGTTATTAGAATGAAGTGTCACTCCCAAGCCTGTACAGCATCCCTAGAACCATGTATTTACTGGATCAAGGTAACTGGAACTAAACTTAGTTCCCTGTACCAGTCATCACATGGTAAGCAGATTCTGCTCATTAGAGATCACACTTTACAACAATGGCTCTCCACCAAGGTGGATTCAACTCCTCAGGAAGAACTGGACAATACTGGAATCACAACAGAAAAGGAGACACGACTCCTGGTACTAAGGGAAAGAGGTCAGAAACTCATACATCTTAGAGTGCACAGAGCAAACCAGCTCCACACACACAGAGTCAACTGGCTCAAAATGTGAAGATGGGTGTGGCTGACAAATTCTAGAGCTGATGACTTGAGTTTGACTACAACAAAGCCTTTAAATTTTTACATATTATCATCTGTGTGTGTTCATGCAATGTGGAGGGTCAGAGGACCACTTTCAGATTGGTTCTCTGCTTACACCATGGGTTCTGGGAACTAAACTTAGTCGGTTAGGATACAGCTACCAGCAAGTTTACCCACTGAGCCATCTCACTGACCCATCAAAGCCCTTCAAAAGAGAAATCCAAAGATAATTACTTTATAATCAAATGAACTCTTCAGCAATATCACATCTTCATTTTTTAAAAAACTGAACATAACTTAGTTGGACATGGTTGTTCATGCCTCTAATCCCAGCACTCAAAGTGAGTGAAGCAAGAGGATAACAAATCTGCCATCAGCCTGAACTACAAAGTGAAATCAGTTCTCAAACAGTTGAGTGAAAACAGACAGAAAGCAAGAGACAAAGAAGGGTGCTGGGCACAGCCAGTTAGGCAGGCACAGTGTCATATGGCTGTAATCCTAGCACTTTAAGGTAGAGACTGGAGAACCAGGCATAAATGACTAGAAAGGTAGAGAAAAAAAGAACTATACATGTTGACCAAATCTCACCTGGTGCTAAATAAGCTTTTGGTTATTTGTTTTTGTGTTTTGAGATAGGATCCCACTGTGTAACCTGGTATGACCTTTGGTTACCTGTGTAGACTTTCTTTTGTGTCACCATACAATATATGTAATATATATATAAAATATATTTTTAACTGTAGCTAGGTGTGGTGACACATACCTTTAATTCTAGCACTGGGGATGCAGAGGCAAGCAGATCTCTGAGTTCAAGGCCAGCATGGTCTACATAGAACTACACAGAGAGATCCTGCCCCAACAAAAAGAAAATTAATTACAACAAATGTTTTTACAAGAAATGCTCATATTTGTAGTCTGGTTAGGAGGACATTACTATAACATTTCCCAGCAAAACTGTAATCTTCATGGAAATGGAAAATGAATAACACAACTATATGCATTTGTCACAACAGGAAACTAATTTTCTCACCAATAAGAACAAATTCTTACCTCCAATTCAGTTAATAATCTCCAGCTAAAAAATTCATGTGTTTTTAATTTATTATCAATACCAAGAAAAGAGATACTGAAACTTTCGACTAAGTAACAAAATGTCTGTTTCACAAAATGGCTCACTTCACAAAATGACTATATAGCCAGAACAATTCTGATTATTTGTTCACCTCTGTTACCTTACTGTTGCTAGTATCCAAGTGGGTGCCCTAGTAAAGGGAACAGGAACTATTTCTGACATGAACTCAATGACTGGCTCCTTTCCCCCCCCCCCCCCCCCACCCCGAGGGAGGAACAGCCTTGCTAGGCCACAGAGGACACTGCAGCCAGTCCTGAAGATACCTGATAAACTAGGGTCAGATGGAAGGGGAGGAGGACCTCCCCTATCAGTGGACTTGGAAAGGGGTAGGGAGGAGATGAGGGAGGGAGGATGGGATTGGGAGGAAATGAGGGAGGGGGCTATGGCTGGATACAAAGTAAATAACCTGTAATTAATATTAAAAAAATAAAAATTAAAAAAATAACAACAAAAAGAAAGAAAACTGTAGTCAAAGGAAAAAAATTCTGTTTGGTAGTAGATGTTCCAAATTTCTATGCCAGACTATATTATCTATGTTAACAAATTTTCCCTGGGTATGATGGCAAATACGTGGACTCCTAGCAACTAGGAGACAGAGGCAGGAAGATTGGGAGTTTGAGATCATCCTGGACTATATGACTAACAATGACAAAAAAAAAAAAAAAAAAAAGGAAAAAAAAAAGCTAGATTAAATTAAGTCTATCCACTAAATGGCACACAATGTAATCTATGTATGGTCCATCCATTAAATGGCACATTATGGAAACTATGGCCCATTCATTAATGGCACACTATGCAACTAAAAGAGAAAGAGGAAAGTCTCTCCATAAGGCTGTGAAGTAAAATCAGCAACAGCCAAAGTTAGGCATGGTGGCTCACACCTGTAACCCCAGCACTTAGAAGTCTGATGCAGCAAGATAATGGCTATGAGTTCAATGCTAACCAAGACTATTGAGCCAGACTGTCTCAAAAAACAATAAAACAAAGCAGCAGCCAACAATTTTGCATTTTGTTTAAGAATAGAAAATATGTAAAAAGCTACATACATATTTGTTTATATTTTCAAAGACAAATAATGAAAAGATAAACCTAACACATATAGGCCTTGGATATAGCTTTGTGGTAGGAAATTTGCTAGCATGCACGAACCCCTGGGCTTGAGCCCAATTTCCGCCACAAGAAAAAAAAAGCCTAAAAAACCAGGCATGGTGGTACACACCTGTAATCCCAGCACTGGGGAGGCAGAGGCAGGTGGATCTTTGTGAGTTCAAGGCCAGCCTGGTCTACAAAGGAAGGACAGCCATGGATTTATGAGAAGCCCTGTCTCAAAAAATAAAACAAAACAACCCTAATCAATTACCTCTCTGGAAGAAGAAAGGAGAGCAAAAGGGAGGGGAATAAAGGGAAGGGAGATGGGGGAGAAGAAGGAGGTAGATAGAGCAGGAGGCTAACTCTCTTTGTATTATGGGTTTAGTCTTTTGTTTTATTGTCTAAGACAGGGGTTTCAGATAGCCCAGGCTGCCTTGTATTTACTGTGTAGCAAAGAAAGGGTGACCTTAAAGTCCTTGTTGTGGTCTAAATGTAAAATAGCTCCCTCCCCCATTGGCTCATATAGTTGAATATTTGGTCCCCAACTGGTGGCACTGTTTGGAAAGGTTATGGAATCTTTAGAAGGTGGAACCTTGCTGGTGAAAATATATCACTAGAGCCACACACAGTGGCACACACCTGTAATCCCCGCACTCAGAGAAGCAGAGGCAGGCAGGTCTCTGTGAGTTTGGAGGCAGCTTTGTCTACAAAGCAAGTCCAGAACAGCCAAAGCTACACAGAGAAACCCTGTCTCAAAAAAACAAAACAAACAAAAAAATCATCACTACAACTGGGCTTTGAGGTTTTCTAACCTGGCCCCATATTCTTATTCTACTTCAAGACTGCCAAAGAAACATGAACAGCTCGCCTTGAGGTCATTTCTTCCCAAAATAAATCCTTTCTCTCCTAAGTTGCTTTTGTCAGGATATGTAACCAGAGACAACAGAAATGAAACTAATAAACTCTGATCCTTTTGCCTCCACCTCCCAAGTGCTGGAACTGCAGGTATATGCCGCTATACACGGTTTATGTGGTGCTAAGGACCAAACTCAGAATATCAAGCACCACAGACAAGCACTCTACCACTGAGCCACAATCCCAACTGTGTTTCATGATTTGACTTTGAAACTTTATGAACAGTTATATATAAAAGTATATATGGGGGCTGGAGAGTTGGCTCAGAGGATAAGAGCACCTCTGATAAGAGGCTGCTCTTCCAGAGGTCCTGAGTTCAATTCCCAGCAACCACATGGTGGCTCATAGCCATCTGTAATGAAATCAGGTGCCCTCTTCTGACATACAAGTGTACACACAGACAGAATACTATATAAATAATAAATCTTTATAAGTGTGTGTGTGTGTGTGTGTGTGTATATATATATACATATATATATATATAACTTCCAACTAACTTGAATAAAAAGTAAAAAGCCACACACACTCACACACACACACACACACACACACACACACACACTCAGACACACTTCATGAATACAGTGAAAGAAACAATGGACATTAAGCACAGGTGTGTGAAGCATGGCAAAAATGGTCTTCACCCTTCAGACAGGTTAACAAGTTTTTTTACTCAGCCGCTTGTTTAAGGTGCTATGAAAATGTGTGTGATTCCTTTGTCTACCTTTAACTTTGTTAACTATCAAATATTTTTGTTATATTTTTAATATTATGCTCTTTCTAGGAAGTAGGAGAAAAATGCTATTTTTTTATTTTTGTGTTTAACCTAAGACTTTTAATACTTAATGACAATTCCCTCACCTTAAAAATGCTTGTACATAGTTTGGGATGAGATCACTAGTTTGTTTCTATTCTTTTCTTTATTAGCAAGTAAAATAGCAGTCATGATTCCCTGTGTGAAAGCTTCCTTCAACAAGCCAAGCAAGTACTTGGGAGAATGCAGGAGGTGGAGTTCAAAAACCATCCTCAGTTACAAAGGGAGTGTGAGACTAGCATCTCTACATAATGTACTTTGCCTTGGTAAGAAAGGCATAGTAAGGGGGCTTGAATGATGGCTCACAGGTTAATAGCACTGGCTGCACTTCCAAAGGTACTGAGTTCAATTCCCAGAAACCATACAGTGGCTCACAACCATCTATGAGGAGATCTGGTGCCCTCTTCTGACATGCAGGCAATACATGCAGACAAAACATTAAA